AGGACCCGGTGCCCCGCCAGGAGCGGGACGAGCGCTCGGGGCCGCTCCGGCCGCGCCCCGCTCACTCCCAATCCCCAGGGGCGAGCTGCTGCTCCTCGCTTCGGTAGCGATTATCCCTTGGGAAAACAGACCTTACTGTTGCCGAAGTTTTAAAGTAAGGCTCGACAGGTTTGAGTAAATCGAGGTGCGTTCTAGCGGTAAATATGTTGAGAAGGGGCATGAGTGCTGTTCAACAAGTCCATGTACTTGTAACTGTGACTTCCTTAGTAATTCTTACCTTGCTTTAGTGTGAAGTTACTCTTTATTTTGTCTTAATCTGTGCTTCACTTCTTGGTCATTTTGCATTGTTAAAGCCACGAACTTACTGCGAAATACACGTTTTTGTTAGTTTAATGTGGCTTTCTCTTAAAATCCAAATGCCATCTTAAAATAGTTTGTGAAGTTATCTGAATTTCTTTGGCATGTTTAATTTTTAAACAACTTCACTAAAAATGTGTTCCTCATTAAATACGGACTATAATTGAATTTCCAGCAGAAAATGGATTAAATGCCAGTCTTTGTTAGCTGATGAGCTGTGGAGAGGCCAGAAGAGATAGCATGTTTTACCAGTGAAATTCACATCAGTTCTGAGGCAAAGCTTGAGGAAAAAAACCCTCCACATTTGTAATCCTGAGAAACTTGTCTTTATTCATTAAACTTTCCTTTTTTTTTTTTTTTTTTTTAAGTCTGTCTAGCAGAATTGTTAACTGAGTCAATGGCTGAACTTTATGAATCATGCCTAGATCTTGTCTGCATGACCATGGTTAGCTCGTGGGCAGGCTGTTGTGCTCATGGCACGTTCCCAAACTCTGTGGGAGAGCTGTTCACCTGCTTCTCACAGTGTGAAGAATGGATCACCCTCTTCTGGCTTTCCAGAAGGTCTGGGATAATCATCTTCTCACTGACCACCTTCCCCACAACTAGTACTCTTCTGCCTGTGTTACTGTTCTCAAGATGCATGTAATGTGAGAAGTGTGATTTTCTTTGCATTTTGCAAGTATAAAAGCTGTTTTCAAGAAAGCATGGCATTAAAATACAGGCAACAAGAGTTTACACAGAAAATGGTGTGCAGTGAGAGGCGTTTGACTAGTACTTAAAACACAAGTGAAAGATTTTTGGAAAGCCTTACATGTGGAGATGGTCAGGGAATAAAACTGGAAAACCTCAAACCTGCAGCCACTCAGCAAAGAGGGCGTGGGTGCTACTTCAAACGTTTTCATTTTCAGAGTGCTACACTTTTCAAAAAAAGCATGAGTGCTTGAGTATTTTAACGGCATCGGGCTCTTGCTTCGGAGGCTTAATATTTTGTGGGGTGGGAGTGTTATCTTAACCTAACTTATCCTTACAATGTGTCTTGAAATGAGTACTCTTCAGAAGTGTGATTCTTGTTTTTGGTAGAAGAACTTATACCACTTTATTTTTAAAAGGAAGTAAAACACTTTCTCACTGCACTGAGTACATGCTTTGGCAATATGAGATGTTGATAGTTTAAATTCTGGAATTACAAAATACTGTTTATGATAGGTTTGGTATATTGGCTACCTTTCAAAAACGAGTTTCTTCTAGTTTTCCTTTGTTCCTTCAAATCCCAAGCTTAATTCTGGGTATAAGATCCTTTCAACTTACTTTAAGTTGATTGGGTTTTCCATTTCAACACTTCCAGTATTTATATAGGCTTTGTTCTGTAGTAATCAGGCAAGTAATCATGCCCGAAATAAAAGTTAAGAGTTCTGTTTGTGCTATGTTCATCCATAAGCCAGCCTGGCTTTGGATTTCCCATTTCAGTTATAGGCCAGTCTGATTCCTCTTCCTTTAATATTAGAGATGATGTTGATTTTGTAGTTCTGTTGCATGACTGTGTGGATTAGGACATACGTAGTTTGTGAACATTTTTTAAATCTACTCTGTTTCATAGCTGGTAGATGTCCTGGTCCAGTGTTGGTCGGTAATAGCTTTTATAGTCACTTTCATGTAAGAGGCTGTTGCTTAATAGAAATACTTCTGGTAGGTCATTCATTTTCAGCTGCAGTGTGGCTGGATTTCTTGCAAAGCAGGCCTGCTGCGTACTTCAAATTCTAGTTGTGGTTGTAAAGCCTGGGTCTCTAGAACTGTTGAAGCCAGAACCAGTCCTATACACACTGTATTAGCCCAGTCTTAGCTCTTAGGTAGTAAGTGCAGTTTCTCAGCCTTGAGTGCTTATCTCAAGGAGGATCAAAATGGTTTGTGACAAGTTTTGTTAGTTTAAAAAAACACACACCCAAAACAAAACAAAAAGCCCCTCAAACCCGTAATTAGTTGCTAAGCAAGTCACAGCAGTGCCCTGCTGATTTTGTGTTTTAGAGGATCTATAAGGCCCACAGGCTTCCACACTAAAATGAGATGAGGTACCCTGTTGTCAAAACACTGCCTCAGGGACATGGAGTTCCTGCTCTTAGCTTTAGAGGGTGTTGTAGAAAAAAAGGTAACTCCCAATGAGCAGGCAGAAAGAAAAGAGATACTGAGGTAACATCCCACTCAGATTTTTAGATGGGTCCTCTTCCATACTGCTCACCTCTAGGTTCAGTGGAAAGGCTGTTCCTATGCAGCAAAGCAATAGCGAAAGAGGCTGTTTCTTTGGGGACGCTGCTGAGGTCAGCAGCAGTTCACCCTCTCCCTTAGCCCTTCTTTTTTTTTAATTATTGTTTGAATAGTTGAGGGTGGAGAAGGTGGGTGGAACAAGGAAGAGTATGTCTCTGAAGAGAGCCTGAGGGCAGGGGGGAAGCTTGAATAGAGGCTATTAGACTTGGGAAGCTACTTCAGGAAGTCTGCTAAATAAGTGTAAACTAAGGTGATAATGAAGATCTTCATGGAACTTTATTAGTACTTTAAGCAGGCCTGTGATGTTTTAAAATTAGTCACTTGAATTTCTTCTGCTAAAAACTGTATACTTAGTGGTAATGTAATAATGATACTGGAAGAAATATTTGGGTTCTTACAGCAAAATAAAAACGTTACATAAAACTTTTATAGGTCTAGGTCAAATTTAGGGTGATTAGGTGCAAAATAAACATGGGGTATAACAAAAGTGAGGTTCTGTACGCAATTTTTACGTGTGTGTATTTGTGAGAAAGGAAATTATTGTTGCTTGTGAAACTTGATTAACTCTTAAGGTCCTTTCCAACCCTAACTATTCTGTGGTTCTATGAATATATGTCCTCAATAATCAGCTGGTTCCCAAGGTAATAAGTTCCAGTGTTTCAGAATCTGACCATGGACTGTTTTGCAGTCTGTTGTATTTGTTGATCCTTGGGCAGTGGTCAGAATCATACTAGGTCTGCAGTGAATCACCCAGATTAGTCTGTATCCAAGAAGCAGACTAACTTATGTGGAAATGTGAGGAGTTTTGCATCCGAAGTGTTGGAGTTCATCTCTTATCTCCTGTTTTAAGATTAAAAAAAAAAAAAAAAAAAGGAGACCGTGGTGATCAGTGAAATGTATTTTCAAGGCAGGTGGCAGGTGTCATACATACATGTAGGATTTGCATTTGTTTCTTTTGCTTCCGCAGTCCTCTGCCACAACAATAGCTACAAATGTATGGAGCACTGCAGTATATAGAGCTGATTAACCTGAGAAATCTTTTAATAGATCACTATTAACTGGAGTTTATCTGTTGCAGGAACAAAGAAGAAAGCTGCATGTCCAGGACTTGGTCTGTTTTACACCGTACTGTCTGCCTTCCTTTTCTCAGTGGCCTCTTTATTACTTAAAAAAATAGAAGATGTACATTCAGTGGAAGTGAGTGCGTTTCGATGTATTTTCCAAATGGCATTTGTTCTTCCCGGGTTAATATACTACAAGTAAGTAGTTAAAGTTATTTCTTAAAAATAGATCTAGAATTAGCCCTCAAATCAGATTGCAAGATTATTTTAATTCAGACTTCAATTGCATAACTGCATTGTTTTGGGTTAGTTGATAGTTTCTGAATACAATTCAGAAACTTAAAATCTTTGACTCCCTGAATTGTAGAGGTTTCTGCAGGGCTTATACCAAATGTGTTGATCTTCCGTGAAGTGGTATTCTTAAAAAATAGAAGGTAATTTGTAGATACGCTTGGGTTATTTTGCAAGCAAAAAAATTAGTAACTAGAAGAACAGATTCTGGACTCTGAATGTGATTGGAGGTGGTGATGGGAATAAATTGGTCTGTGGTCAGAGAGTTAAAAATATTTTCATATTTGAGATAAGACCTTCATCTAGGGAGGTGTGTACAGTCTAGAAGAGTCTGTACATTTAAATGTGATTGAATGTTGGTGATGAAACACGCAAGCCAGCAATATTAATGTGACATTTCTGTTTTTCAGAACAGGGTTTTTGGGACCAAAAGGTAAAAGAATTTTTCTTTTCTTCCGAGGATTCCTTGGCTCTAGCGCAATGATTCTTCTCTACTATGCTTACCAAGTCATGCCACTAGCTGATGCCACCGTTATAACTTTTAGCAGTCCTGTTTTTACATCACTGCTGGCATGGATCTTTCTCAAAGAGAAGTACAGTATTTGGGATCTTCTGTTTACCCTCTTCGCCATCACTGGAGTGATTCTTATTGCCAGACCACCATTTCTGTTTGGGTCAAATGTTACAGGGATTGAAGGAAGTTACACAGAGCACCTTAAAGGAACTATAGCAGCAATTACAAGCACAGTATCTGCAGCTTCAACTATTGTTATACTAAGGAAGGTGGGAAAATCTGTGCATTATTTTTTGTCAATTTGGTATTATGCTGTCATTGGTTTAATTGGATGTGTTATAGCATTGTTTGTTATGAATGAATGGCGTTTACCACATTGTGGTAAAGATAGGGTTCTTCTAATATTAATAGGCTTGTTAGGGTTAGGGGGTCAGATATTTCTCACAAAAGCATTACAGATAGAGAAGGCTGGACCTGTAGCCGTAATGAAAACAATGGATGTGGTGTTTGCTTTTATTTTACAAATTCTTTTTCTCAATCGTCGTCCAACTTGGTGGACTGTAGGTGGTGCCCTTTGTGTAGTAGCGAGTAATTCTGGAACTGCTATTCGTAAATGGCGACAAACCTTGAAGAAATCTAAAGAAAATGAAATCTAACAATGCAGACATTCATTAGAGAAACAAACAATCTTGAAATATATATATACAATATTTATTTTTATTTATTTTAAATATATCATTTACCAAATTGTACCAAATTATAGGCAATAAGTGGATTTTTTTTCCTTTTTTAAACAAAATTGAAGGTGTGTTAACAGCTGATTAGGTATATACTTTTCTTTCTCAGAATTAGGCGTGCAAATATGAGAAGTAGAAAAAATTTTGAAAGTTGCTTGCTTTCTATCAAAAATGGACAATTTTTTGGCTTTTATTTTCCTAAAACTCCTGATTCTCCACTTCTTAGACCCGTGCTCTGTTCTTCTGAGCAGTGGAAATCAGTCTCCCAGGCTTATTTAATACTGTTCTGTGCTTGATTAGCAGAGGGATTGCAATATAAAAGTTAGAAGCGAAAAAAGAGTTATAATCCTATAAACATCCAGCTTTTATAGAACAGATAAAACTTGCACATTTACAAGCTTTCTCCCCCCCCCCCCCCCGATGCCAAGCGGGGATTTATTTTTAATTTGGATTCTGAAAGAACAAAGGCTATTTCATCTTTCCAAATTATGTCATCTTCAGCTTTACTTTCTTTTAAAAAGAATTCTAAATATTTGCACTTGCTTTACAGACATAATGAAATAACCTAATCCCTCCTGTTTTGGTTTCTTTTTTAACATGACTTTCCCAATAAGCATGTCTTTAGTTGCTACAGTCTCAGTGATGAAAGACAACAGTTAATTGTATACCACTCATAAATTAGCCATTTCTTGTAGTATGGAATGTTGCAGCTGCACTTTTCTTTATTCTATGCAAAAGATTATATTTTTTAGGTATTTAATACAAGTTGTTTTAAATGCTGCTTATGACTCTTTTGTTTAGATTCTTCTGTACAGAAGTTCTTTATGAAATGAAGTTTAAGTCTTGGCCTTCATAAAGTTAGGAGGATTTACAACAAAGCTTTTGCCTATTTCCTAAGAATTTACAAGAGTGCAGAGTAATTGCAGTTTCACAGAAAATGCAGGTTGGCCAAGGTAGTAGCAGAGATTCTACAGAACAGGTTTGGGGAGAGCTTGATGGGAGAATGGAGCTGCACATAAACATCTCATGACATGGAGGCATCCACACCACATCAGGCAGTGCTAGTGGGCAGCTTCAGCTCCATTTTTCTAGCTGGCCCTTTTAAATCTGCATTTAGTTGCTTCTCCTGCACATCTTCTTACTTCCATGGGCTTTATCGTGATAGCAACAAATACTAAGAAAAAAGGCTTGTGTTATTTATCTTAGCATCCTTCATGTTTGAGGAGGAATATACAGTTAGTATCAGATAAGGGTATTTTCCCAAATGGAGTCTTACGTACTTTTGGGTCCTGTTGGGAGTGCTAAAAGAAAATTTTAACTTGGATCTTTATTTGGTCCTTCTTATCATGAGGTAGTTTTCAGTTATTTACTCGTTGTAGTGTTTTCCTAAGAGAGAATGCTTTGCTTTTTTTTCTTTTTTTTTTTTTTTTCTTTTCTCCTCCCCAAGATCACTAAAGGTGGTGGATGTTTTCTTATTTTGATTTACAGATGTCTAGTCACATAGCTTTTCTTTTGCCAGTAAGCTTTGCATCCTAGCAGGGCAGATACTGGAACTTAAGTCCTGAAGGACTGGAATGTGCATAGTACTTCAGGATGTGCCTGGATGTGAGGAGCTCTCTTTGTGCAAGATTCTGTATGTAAACCAGCACCCTGAATCCATATATGTTTATGGACATGAGCAGATCTCACTTGAGTGATAGAATCAGATCAGGCTTATAGCATGCATTCCTTGCTTCTCATGAAGGCTGAAGTTCAGCTACTGCTGACAGGGTCAGGAGTAGTATGAAACTGCTTTCACATCTCTTTAAAGCCTGATGTAATAATAAAGCTCCAGTTCGGCACTCATTTTACTTAATACTTGAAATTGTAATCTGGAATTGTTTCTCCTGCTGCTCAGCCATCACTGGCATTGAGCAACTGCTTTCAGGAAGGGAAGGAAAATAGACAGCGTTTTTTACTGCTTCACTTCATGTTTAATATGTGTGTGTTTGAATTGACACAAAGGTGTGGTTCCAAAGCAGTTCAGACTGATGTGAACTTGGGTTGTCAGCTAGTCCTGCTCCCTCCCACTGGCTCAGAGCTCGTGGTCGTGTGGTGAGCTAGCCCTGGGAGCTGATCCAGCTGTGTAACTTTTTAGTAAGGTGGTTGGAGAGGGCAAAACCAGAGTAGCTTGAACTTGATGACAGTGTGAAAACATTAGGAAGGGGAATTAAATAGTCGTTTAAATTGCAGCTTATGAATGCTGCTTTGTCAGTACAGAATAAAAATAAATGTGGAAGCTTACATTGAAAAAATCTTTAGTTCATATGATTTCAATGAAACTTGTTTACAGTTAATGGAGGAGAACAGGCAACTGAAGAAATGACTGTTTTCTTGCCCTTAACACATAAGTAAGTGTAGAAAACAAGCTGACCTGAAAGCAACAACCTGATACAGCTATTGGTAATTTTTCTCTCAAGTTCTTGCAGAAACTTCTGTTTTATTTCCATATATGTAGTGCCAAACCCCCCAGATTATTATTTTTTACTTTGTCCAAACCTGTAGGGTTTCCTTATGGCTTCACTTACTTATTTCCTGTTGCTGTTCCTAAACCTTCCTAAATATTTAAGTTGAGTAATAATCTACACAAGATCCTATGTTGGAGAACACTATTTTTTGGAAAATTACTTTGATTTTCATCAATGTGTTATAGAATTATTCAACTTGTATGAGAATGAAAGACTTGACTAGGGCTTCTCTAGTCATAAAGCATGACAAGCTAGCTTCTGTAACTAGCTTTTCTAGGTGATACAGGGAATGAAAGACATTTAAGCTTATATTTTTTCAACCACCTCAATTTTTAATTTTTTTCTTCCTCTCAAATGTAGATTGAAAACCAAAATTTTAGTTGAAGCCATGAAGGAGAATGAAATGATACGAAAATATGGATACCCTAAAATGGTGTGGGTTTTTAAGAGAATCTGAAATGAAATTGGTTGAGCCTTGAGTCTTTCAGATTCTGGTATGTCTTTTTTTTGTGACAGTTTCTACTTTTGAAATTTTTTTTTTAGCTTTAGATTTCAATACAGCAAGTTTCTCAGGGTCAAATGTTACTTTTCGCAGCTTTGTGTCAAAAACATGTTATTAATGTTTGTCGCCTGTAGCATCCTGTTGTGATCTCTACAGTATTTTTAAGTTCTATAGATGTACTTTTCTAATAGGAAGTCCTCCTTTGTAATATGATGGAATATTGTTGCATTGCAACTGCTATGCTATAAAGTTGTTTCTCTCGCGTTTCAATGTATGAATTCAATGTACTGATTTCAGTGGATCCTGAATAGAAAGAGTAATTAATTAATTATTGGTTGTTTTACGCATAGACACAGGGTAAAAAAATTTAGCGATGCATCAGTAACAATCAGCATATTTCTTGTGTTCTTCACTATGCAAAACACTATAATCATCTGTTGTCCTCAGTGGGACTTTGAAGCCTTAAAGCCTTATATACCAAACTCTTCTATAGAAAGCTAATGGCTGAAAAAGCTATGTACTGTCACTGTGCAGCAGCCAATTTCTTCAGGTTAAGTTGGCTGTCAAAGTATGCCCTAAAAGCTCTCTAAATACATCTACACTAGAATTTGACAAGCTCATTGTGTAGATAAGAGCAGTCTACCTAATTAAAATGGATTTCCTGTGTTTGTCTAACACCAGGCGTGAAGTAACCTCAGCATAACAGCACTGGTGAAATAACTAGTTCAATGTCATTTTTTTTCTGAAACCTGAAACTGGGGTCTTTCCCAACTCCAAAAACTGTTCTAAGATGTCAGTTCCTGTAATTGATAACCACAAGATAGATAATACTACCCTTGATCATCATTTCGTATGAACACTTACAGTTTTTTCTCTTCCTTGAGCTTTGTTCAAGAGCTGTGAGAAGACAGTTTATTTCTAGAGAGGCAGCCTTTTAAAAAGTCACTTCCTCGCTAACTAGCAGTAGTTAACCAGGAAGAGTCTGTTTTCCAGTTCTCTAACCATGGTAACCATGGTAGTAGGCTTATCTGTGACATCAGTCCCACAAGGGTAGTAGAACCACAACCTCTGTCCCTGCATGGATTCGGGGTTGGCAGTGTTGACAACAGATGTGCAACACCAACATCAGCAGGACATTGCAGTTACTGGCAGAATGTTTATGTGGTCATAACTGCCTGTCCATCCAAAGAAACATTGTGGCTTTATGTTCCTGCGGATGCAGGTAACTTCAGGTGGAACATACATAGACTTCTATGATGATAACACTTCTGTATATCAGAATGAGTAATTTCATATGTTGTGTGAGTTAATGTTTGACAAAAAGGGGGTAAAAATACCCTCAAGTAATTAAAGGATTTTTACTATGTCCTATATATTGCTAAATATATGTTGGATGGTATGTTTTGTAGAAGTTACTGGCTTTGTTATGTAGTAGTATATTTTTATAGACAATTCTTACCTATTGAAATGTTAAGAATATTTTCGTAAGAGATTTATATTCATCATTGCTAATAAAATGAACCCGAAGAATTAATCTCTGGTTTTGCATTGATTATTAGAACACATTTTGAATGAAGTGATTGTAAAAGATTTATGAAAGAACTGTTAATCAAACAGTCCCTATTAATTATGAACATATACATCAAATTCTGCTGCTGTTAGCATGCTGCATCACTTCTTATGCCTTGCAACAAGCTAGAGGAGAAAAGAAGCTCCATCAGCTTCCATGCAGCAATTCCTTAACCGGAAGCAGTGGGGCATTGTCAGGTCAGTAAAGATAAATTTTCCAGTGTCCAAGTGGCAATTTGTTTTTGTGGGGTTTTTGGTTGGTTGCTTGTTACTTCTATACATCATGATTTTAATTCAAGTCATATCCCTCCTATCACAAGGTCATATTTAATTCATCCTAG